CAGAAAGGTTATTTTACCTAAAGAAGGCGAAACAATAAAATTTTCATCACACGAAAAGATGTCAAACACCTTTTGTTATCTATGCTGATTTTGAAACGCTTGCATCTAAAATCGATAAACACCTAACTGCAACTTCATATGAGTATCAAGAACACAATATCTGTTCATTTGGTTTAGTTATCGTTGATTGGAAAGGTGACGTTGTAGATAAATCGTTTTATAGAGGACGTGATGCCGCATCCCATTTCATTCAATCACTGATAACAGCAAGATTCGAACTTAATGAACTTTATTGGAAATCAGAGAAGCCTTTATCGATGAATAATGAACAAGAAACTATTTTTTTCCTTTCACAAGTTTGTCACATTTGCAAAGAAAAATTTACTCATGATGACACGAAAGTTAGAGATCATGATCATCTCACAGGTAAATTCAGAGGAGCTGCTCATCAATTATGTAATTTAAAATGGAAATGGAACTATAAAATACCAATAGTATTTCACAATCTCAAAAATTTCGATGGACACCTAATAGTTTCAGCATTAAAAAAAGAGATGTTTAAAACAATCGCATTTATACCACAAACTATCGAAAAATATATTGGATTTTCTATGGATCAATTTACCTTTATTGATTCATTTGCTTTTCTTTCTGCGAGTCTCGATTCTTTAGCTAACAACCTTACAAAGGAAAACAAATTACATTTTCTGAACCAAATTATACCTAAAACAGATCATTCGTTACTATTGGAAAAAGCGAGCTTACCATATGATTATTTAGATAGCTGGGAAAAATTTGAAGATGTTCGCTTACCTCCAATTGAAACATTCAATTCATCTTTAACTGGAAAAAGTATTTCGGAAGAGGTTTATTCAAGATTACAACAGATTTGGGTCGATTTCGAATGTAAAAATCTCGGCGACTTTCATGATATATATTTACAACTTGATGTTGCACTTCTAGCATCGATTTTTGAAAATTTCAGAAACATGAGTTTGAGAGAGTTCGAGTTAGATCCCACACATTTTTGGTCTACCCCTGGTTTAACTTGGACAGCAGCAATAAAATTCACAAAAGCTGAAATAGATCACATAAATGATATAGATATGGTATTAATGTTGGAGAAAGGTATTAGAGGAGGGATATCGTCTGCAATGAAAAGACATGCTGTTGCTAATAATCCTCTTTGTCCTGAATACGACAAAGAAAAACCTAATTCATACATTACATATTTAGATGTTAATAACTTGTATGGTTATTCACTGATAAAAATCTTCCTTATGGATCTTTTAAATGGGTTGATGAAAGTGAATACCAAAGTGTTCTAAATGAAATAACAAGTAAAAAAACTAAAAATGGTTACATACTTGAGGTAGATCTTGATTATCCTAAAGAACTACACGATTGGCATGATGATTATCCACTTGCCCCAGAAACGATAATAATTAGTGAAGGTGAGCTGAGCGACTATCAAACTCAATTGGTGAAAAAGTTAGAAACCTTTGGAAATAAAAGAATTATGTCTCCCAAACTGATTCCAAATCTTTACAATAAGACTAAATATGTTACACATTATCAGAATCTTCGATACTATATGTCAAAGGGATTACAATTGAAAAAAATCCATAAGATATTACAATTCGAAGAAAAACCATGGTTGAAACCATATATAATGCTATGTACAGAAAAAAGACAACAAGCAAACAATGCATTTGAAAAAGATTTTTGGAAGTTAATGATTAATTCACTTTATGGTAAAAGCATCGAAAATAAACGAAAACATTGCGAAGTCAAATTTTTGAATGATAGAGCGGATGTGATCAAAGCTACAAGAAAACCTCTTTTCGACCAATTCTGTATATTAGATGAAAATCGAGCGATTGCAAAGCTACGGAAGTCTAAGGTTTTGTTGGACAAACCAATAGCTGTTGGATTTTCTGTTTTGGAATTTACGAAACTGTATATGTATCAATTACATTACGATACTTTCAAAGCACATTATGGTCAAAAGATAAGTTTAGTTTACACGGACACTGATAGCTTCATTTATCACATACAAACAGAAAATCTTTATCGTGATTTTGCTTATTTCGCCAATATTATGGATTTTTGTGACTATCCTAAAGATCATTTCCTTCATAGTAATGAGAACAAAAAAAAGCTTGGCTATCTTAAAGACGAAACTAACGGAGATCCTATCATAGAAATAATCGCTCTCAAATCTAAAATGTATTTGATCAGATCAGTGAATAATGAACGCAAAACAGCTAAAGGGATACAAAAGCATGTCGTTAAATCTCAAATACTACGCGATGATTATCGAAACTGTTTATATAACGAAGAATTATATAGGCATACAAATCATGAACTTCAGAGTAAAAACCACATAATAAAAGCTATATCAACTGAAAAAATATCATTAAGCCCTTTGGACGATAAGCGTTGGGCAATTGATAATATCAACACTCATGCTTTCGGTCATTATCTCTCAAAATATGAAATTTGATATGTTACTTTTTATAACGAATTTATTAAAATAAATATTAATAAAATTTATAAAGTATAAATACCATTCCAGTTATTATTAATCTTAAACGCATAATTAATTTTGATTATAATTTCAAATGTCTTAAACAAAACTTTTCGGGATTAGCATTTTAATTAATTTCAAGTTAGCTTCCAAGGTTTGCTGAACGATCTCAATATTCCCATCCTTGTTCAAAGGGTAAGGGTTTTCGTGGATCGGAATATCAAATATCGAGCAAAAGTAGCAGAGGACATCAAAAGCTTTGTCAGGGTCCTGTTTACCAATTCTATCAAGGTAAACCCAAACAGACTGGATGAGAGTAGCAAGCACCACTGCACGTACCTCGTCATCCTTATCTATTGAGACAATAACCTCCATGAAATGTAGAAGCGTCGGTAAGATTCTTTTCAACCCACATAAAACAGTCAAAGGGATTTTGATGGTCGATTTGTTACCTGATTTTGTACGCTGTAGTTCAAATCTTCCATTATACATAGTCCCTCTTAGTTTAACATTAGTAGTCTTGAATCGTGGTAAATCTGATTGCAAATCTAGATTTTGAGCAAGGTGTCGAATCTCATCAATACCAAGTAAAATCCCTTTAGTTGCACCAAAAGTGCTTGAACTGTTCCGTAAGTTAACGAAAATTATCATTTTATCCTTCTCCTGTTTTCCGTTAGTCACAGAAACATAAAAACCATAGAACGGTGATATTTTCACAGCAAAGATTTCATTCCAATCACATCTTGGTTTTTTCGTAACTTTTTCATCATCAGACGAATCAGATTCAACGACGCGTTTAGTATTCAGTTTTTCACTCATTTTGGTTGTTCAAAGGTAAATAAATGTTGAACTGAAATGAACAAATGTTGGAAATAGAATGAAAAAAATGAAACTTTGCAAGTGCATTTATATGTATCGAAGGCGGAGTTAGTTTCAGGGAGTTTGACCTTTACTCACTCGTATAATTTATTTAAATAGGTCCATTGAATAATTTATGCTAATGATAATTTTTCATCAAAGTCTAAAGCTGACATGAAAAGGTGATAAAAACTTAATAAAACTAGAGCGAAAAGACAAAAACAAAAAACTGCAATGGAGATTGTGAACATATCTTTTCTTTTTACAACGAAAAATCCACTTGATCCCAGTGTTTATGACTGTTATAATCCTAAGCGATTTAGTGGGGCGATTTTGCGGGAAGGAAAAAAAAGAATTTTGATCTTTAAAAGTAAAAAAATTGTAGTCACGGGAGTAACTGACCAAATACAAGCAAGAAAATTAGTTGATAATTTAGTTGGTTGTGAAGAAATAATCGATTACAAGATCTTGAATATTACTGCAACAGGAAAAATTGACTTCGAAATAGATTTTAATGCTATGTTGGAATCGCAAAACTTTTCTTGGGAACCAGAACTTTTTCCGGGTATTTACTGGCGTAAAAATTCTTATGAAAAACCTGTTGGAATAATATTCGTCAAGAAAAATAGTCG